ACGCAATAACCAAATTTTCAAATTTATTAATTAACTCTGAATTCATCAAAACATAAACCTAAATAGTTAAATAAATTAATCCTCGCCTTTAAATAATTATAGCGTATTGTTGATTTGAAAGTTGTTCTCAATGAAACGTCTTCATTTCAACATCCTAATGTCAATTCAAATAATTTAATTTAAATAATCATTGAAATCATTATTCGAAAACTCTGCCCTATTTTATTGATTTCATTTGATAAAATTATGTAAATATATAATTTCATTCGCAATTAGGTTCTGAGATATTAAACATTAGTAGATTACATACCAAATTTTCTTTCGGAGCTTACAATGTTAATCCTATGATAAATAAGTACAAACTCATATTTAACCTATTAAACACATATATATAAATATTAATTCCAGGACCTTATAAATATCTTCCAGACCTTGTATAATCCGCATATATTTTTACTTAATTTATTTCTGTATTTAGGGTACACTTTATAATAACCCGTTCTGCTTAAATATTTTTATAAGACATGACATGAGATTTGTATGGTCGTGATGTCTATTTCATGTAACTATGTGTAGATATATTGAGATAACTCTATTTTGATGGTTTGATTGACAATGTTTTAATTGACAAAAATGTTACTTTCTGTAAATCCTAATAACATGTATTCAAGTGTTTTTTTAAAATAGCCAATCAATTAAAAATATCCCCGAGAATATTCTTTGGTAGATTATGATTACATATTTGATCATTGCAATGTTGTACGAACGTGTTGTATTGTTCAATCTGCTACTTAGTGGTTGGGCAGTTTTGACACCCGAGCACGTTTAATGCGTGTCTATACCAATACAGTACAACGTTTTTAACATCATTTAAATGGGATAAACATTATTAAATGAGTTATAACCTATTAATATTTTAAATTTTCCCACGAAAGAAGTTAGAACCCTGTCCCAAAATATGGCCTGTCAGACTGGATGTTCATTTTTAAGTCTAACCACGCTTGGTAATATTTTTTTCAAATATTGAAAAAATAAATGTAACCGAACTTTAATACATGTATCATACAATAATAATAATTATAAAGCAATCATTAATATGAAATATCATGATTTGGAAGGAAGCAGTTTTATCCAACAGCCAAAAAGTAAAAAAGAACAGGAATAGTGTTACGATTAAGACAACAAATACATTTTAGTCACTTGTTTTTTTTTTATAAGTGATTTCTTTCCTGTTTTAGTGTTTATGTAAGAAATAAACTACAGTATGATCACTTTCCTCCTCTTGCCCCTTTCTATGGTTATTTGGGGGCTTTTACAGTTGAAAGCACTTTGAGTATTACTAGCTAGGTTGTAGATAGTAATGTTTTCATTTTTAAACGTGTTCTTGGTAGTTTTCTATGCAGTGCTTTAAAGGGAACGATGTACTGACGAATATAAGGATTTTTAAAGTAATTCTTGTAAAGACAGGTATAAGGAACGGACCCTCTCCAAGAAGGTTTTGTCCACCAGCATTGAATACTCTGTTCATTCATTAGTTACGATATAGCGTTTGAAATTGGTAACTAAGTAAGTCGTAATTTATTTGAAGCTGTCTTGCAAAGCTTACGGAAGGCAGTAAGTAGCTTTGGCTGAGGTCTATGCCGAGCTATTGTCATTAGTTAGTGGAAGTGGTTGAACCGTTGGATAACGAGCTCAATTTCACCCTACTTGCTACTTGCATAACTTGTGTATGATACTCTGTGATGCGCGTTTTCACAAATTACTTCTACTGTACACGTATAGATTGACAAGTGATTGATTGTAGGGTTTTTAGGTGTTAATGAAGATTGTATATAATAAAAATATAGGCTTAGGTGCAGCAAAGAGTGTACGTGTGTGTGCCTGTATGCTAGGGGGGAAAAAGTATGTTAAGTTTTTTTATTTTCTTTTATGTTACGAAATGTGTATTTTACTTCTGTGCATGACTTGTATTATTATTATTATATAGAGGCTGACTGTAAAGTTTACCTCAATAAATAATCATTTGGATTTCATTTAATAAAAAAAATAATACAAATCAAAAACAGGTATTTCCAGTGATTATAACATTTAACATGGAAATTTAAAAATACAGTTAACTAATTATTTCCGTTTAAATTTAGACAAAATTTAAGTTAAATACATTAGTTTAAGCTATTTGTAGTCCTAAAACTATTTAAAACTTTATCGGTCTAATAAAATATAGAATTTTTATAATTTTGTGTTCATAAACTTTATAAAAAAACTTACTTCATAAATAACATATTTCTTTTCTATATGTCCAATCGAAAACCATCACCACTTATCATCTTCATATATTTACCGTTTTGTGAGTTAACAGTACGAGTGTAAATATTTGTTTTAAGTTTTATAAGACGTATTTTTATTTACTTTCCATAAATTTATTAACACGTTTAATGCTGGTCAAGAAATTGTTTTGTTTTTATTCTATGGAACAACAAAAAATAAGTTCTTTAAAGCTTACAGTAGAATAAAGATTGTGAAGGGAGAACGTCTTGCTAGAAGCATGTGGTCACTGTCACAATAGTTTCATCCTCGGTAGTAAAACCATCTTGAGTAGTCTTACTGTCAAATCCTCACCAAGACTTCTTAAACCAAGCTTTTAAACGTTGACCCAACTCATTCCCCTTGTTTTTTTCTTACCCCAGTGATTGTTAGCATATACTTATTTAATGAAACCCGTAAATATAAAGATAGAGAATTTAATTCCAAATCAAATGAGACCTTGTTTGTTAATATCGGATGACAAACAACCGAATTATCAGTTTTCTTCTACATTTGGTTACGCAATTCAATATGACTTCCAAATTGTTTATTATTTGCTATTTTACAGAGCATCTTTTTGATCTGAAAAACAATTTTCTTAATATTTACGGGTTTCATGAAATTTGGCATTAAGATTTTAAATGGCCGCCATATTGAAACTGTTTGAGATATTGAAACGAAACTTTGTAAGCTCTTTTTACCTAATAAAATACACATTTATACCAATTATGAAATTTCTATCTTGAAAAATGTCCAAGATATAAAATAATTCTTTAAAATCACAAACAGTGAGGATTGAATCCTACACTAAAGTAAAGTGTTATACCATAGCTAAGTATGGAGGAAAAGTATCTTGAAATATGAAATGTAAAAATATACTATCGAACCATAGCATGTACGTAGGATTGTAATTTCTAACTTCGTATTGTTCTACATGTTGACAAGGTCAATCAATGTACACTGTATAGCTATTGTGTTGCGTTAAATAGGTCAAGACGTTGCTTTGTATATATCAGGCATATATATGCATAGACTATGTATATAATCAGGTTAATTGGGTGTACTCTTAAAATTGACTTTCTTGAGCGATCCCTCTCAAAAGGATTTAGTCATCAAAATTAAACTGAATTTCACATAAAGGAAAATGGTTAATAATAATACTGTTTGATGTGTACAAAGAACGATATCACAATGGCTTAGGAAAGTGCCCCTTCATCAGCAAACCTGCAGACTAGGTGAAAGTGAGATTATTCCCCCAACTGAAACACTTTACTTTTAGTAAATCAGTTTAGCATGAAATTAATTTATCTTTCAATTTGTTTGAAAAACAAGAAAACCTAAACGACAACAGTTTACTAATTCTCCATGAGAGTAAATATAGGAGTTATAACTTTACATGATATTTTAATTTTCTTCATAATTTTAAAACAAAATTATTTGGTAGGTTCAGACAAGATTTCACCTAAATTGGAAAATGTTTACTCCAGTCACGCTATCGGACACACACACATACATATACACACACACATAGAGACATTTTAACGAATAGTGTGCAGTTACACAACAATGTTTGTCACAATAAAAACATTTGGAAAACATTTTGCACACAGCAATTGCCTTCTGGGTGTTTTCAATATTATTTCATGTGGAATTCTTTGTTTGTTACATCTGCTTAGAAACAAAATTACAATAAAAATGTATTTTTTCTTATAATAAAATTATGAATCAAAATATATTAAGTGTGGCGATTAATTATATGGAAATTTCAATAATAATCAATTATCAATTATTTGAGGTGGGAACGCCACTTAGGTGCGTATTTTAACATCGAAGAAAATATGGCGATGATTCAGAACTTTTTGTTATAATCTCATAATAAAATATAGAATATTTCATCAGATGACAAAATAAATCCATGCTCATTGTCTGTAAATTGACTTCATATTGGCTATCTTAAGGAGATATCCGGAGAGCAGTAGAATCAATTATTATAATTACGCAGCATTTGATTCCTTAGTCTTATTTTCGGACTTGAATCGAACCTAACTTAGAATTATTATGTAGTATGAATAACTTTATGTTATCACTAAGTGTGACTGTTACATGATGACGAAATCTAATCCCTAGACGCAGAACTGATGTCCACAGACCAATTATTATTCTGCTCAGTTGGTCATGTGAATTATTTAAGTCCCAGATGGTCTGTGCAATTCTCGAGAATAATAATGAACTTTACTCAAGGGAGCCAGAACTATTTTTCTTTAAGTTAATTTACGGAGATGTACAAACATGACAAGTTTGGTTCGTAGCATTTACCGTATTCTTCACAATCCCCATTAGTATGAATAAACTTGTTAACCACATATGTATATGTCACAAATGAGGTAGAAGAGGGATTTGTACCGCATAAACTAGATTTTGAGACTCATTTTTCGAATTCAAATATAATTACTCTTGGTTAAAAGGCTGAAATCAACGGCCTTTTTAATAAATATCAATTGTGATTTAGGTTCCTCAGCAAATCATAAAATTGTATTTACTAACATTTACATTAGGAGAACGAATGTTATCACATAAGCTGTTGTAACCGGATTTTTTTTTTAAATTATATTGACTCAAATAAAACATTGATAAGGTAGGAAACACACTGCATTGTACTTTTAAATAATTTATTTATCATCTTCAGTTACATCTTACAGCTTAGTTACAATATAAATTAAATGTTATGTAATCAAATATATAATTGGTCCTATTTATAGGGTGTCCCACGAAGAGGTTGCTGTTTTTGAATTAATAAACGTATCGAAAACCCGGCAAACTGTATACCCCATTGTTGTAATAAGTACTTATGGAAAATACTCGTGAGTGTCGTTTGGTTCTGATTAATAAGGTAAAATGGCGGGACAAAATATTTTCAGAACAACTTTTTCTACCACAGTTTAAAAAAGTGCATAGGTATACATTAGTTCAGCTGAAGAGTTGCGAATCAAACTAATTAAATTTTTTAATTTACCACTACACTATATGTTTTGATATTTTAATTTTATATACTTAAGCAACATTGTACAAGAATCCAATAACCGATGAAAAATCGTATTTTAAATCAAATTACTTTAACCAAACTTATTTTGCTTGTTTTGTTCTAATTGTTCGGACTCTGGGGTGTTTGTGTAGTTCAAGCTTGTAGCACGCCATACGTTATAACTGTCTGGTGTAATTGAGAAGAAGCAACCTTTTTATGGAATATGGGACACCCCATTTATCATAAAATAAAATAAAAATTGTAATGTCAGTAAAACCTATGACAACAGTTAATTAAATATCCTACCGGTAATGATCCCGCACATTGGTTTTAGGGTTAGCACCATTTAAAAGTTCAAAGGAATACACGACAATATTTGCATTGCATAAAACTATGAAAAAACTGCTCTACCATTAAATAAATATCTTTTCATCACTCCGTGCCGAATTATTATGTAAGTTTTCTCTAGAAAATTTTCTTTTATATAGATATTTATGAAATGTTAATTGAAAAATATGATAGGTAGTTTTAATGTTAATTGGGTTTGTATCTCTTTGTATGTATTTTTTCGTCATGATGAAAAGTATCGTTCAAAACTCGATCCGAAAGTGATTTTCCGGCACTTGCTCCATTATTTCCACCCTCGGCTTCGCCTCGTACGTGAAAATACTTCTCACATACTTGGCTTTACCTCGCATAATGAAACTCGAGCGCGCACCGGAAAATGCCACTTTCGGTCCTAGTAATGAGATAAACTATTCTTAGGTAGCTATTGGAATACATAATCGGAAAGTCGCATATTTACTTCTTAATCAGTAAACCAATAAGAAACAACTTCACTTCAATAACAGATCTTTCAAACATATAACACAGGGTATGACACAAGCGTAGTTACGGTAGTTCTTTTTACATAAGAAGGAACGTTTCCCATCCGCATCGTTGTTCGCCACGAGGAGGATAATATATCCCGTACCCACATCTACATTTTGATCCGAATCTTCTCCTTCAGCCTAAGTAGTATGTCCAGTACAGGACATTGAAGACAGCAAACGCTAAAGGAAAGAACAGTCTGGAATATTCATCGATTCTGCGTGCCATCACCATGTTGTTGTTGGAACAAAGCCCGCTCGCATTCTCAGTCACTACAACTTTCCTCACCTGAAACAGTGCGTTTTATCAATTATCAATTTGTAGCGATCGGGACCACAATATGAGTGAAGGATGAATGAATCATGGTGAGATGATCGGTGTAGCTCAAGATTTCATCAGTCAAGACAATTTAAGTCCAATGATCGGGAGCGCTGGGTCCAGTTTCGAACCAACAACAAAAAGCTACTGAACCGACTACCTTCCACTCAGCCACCATGAGCCATTTTGAGGGATGGCTATTTTGAAATTACAGGCTTTAAACACATTAAAAGCGTATTAACATCTAGCAGAAACAGCAATCTTTTATTTGTTGTTGCTTGAAAAAAAATACACCGGAGATTTGAATGCCCCAATTAAAATATTAAATAAGTTGTATAGTTGAGCCATATGGATTCTATGGTTTACATAATTCAAAATAATTGATCCAAAGATTTTTTTTTAATTGGTAAAGTTATTTCAATGTTTGATTAGTCGGATCAATAAGATAATTGAAATGTAAAGCTATTTTATTTAAGGGGTGTCTGCGGTGTTCACAAACTATAAATAAAGGTTTAATGACGTTCTTGTTGTTTTGTAGTTTGATTCTTACCCGAGAATGAGATGAGATTTCAAAACGCCCACATTGAGTGGAACTGTTTTTTAGTAATCATGATGGAAACTTTTCGCAATTATTCCTTAAATGACCTCCATAATATACAAACATCACCATAAATACCACCAACCACTAAACTTACTATCAGCAAAAATTAAACATGAAAAAAGAATGAATACCAAATAGTTTAAATGACAATAATCTCTGTACATACCACAGTGACTGCTACGGTCTGAGTGTTCGTCTCACTGTCCAGCCCTCTGCCACTAACAGATTCTGGTAGAGTAGTGGTGCGCTTCAGAACCTCAGGAACCAACTTGCGCCACATGTAGTTGACAAAGGTGAACTCCAGGAGCGCACAAAACACGAACGCTTCAACGTACAACAAGTATTAACTCCTGACACCTACATCATCTGTGAAATTTAATTACCTTACAAGCAAAACAAACAAACAATCGGAAACGAATATTTTCAAGTAACCAATTCAATTTTCGTTTAGACTTACTTATACTATATGATAATCGTTAACTTGAATGGATCTTCATTCCCACCCATTTCCCAACTAGTCTGTTCTGAAGATGAGTTGTTCACTTGTGAAAAAGTCTCAAGAATTTTCCAGCTTGTATCCCATAAGTATGATATTTGACTACATATTAAGAATCACCAGTCAGAAATGTGTCTCAATAATTTTGTATTATTATGAACCGTGCCCAAGACTTATTAAAAAAATGCTTGCGAGATGGATGGCAATTCTGCAGGTATTTAAGTGATTCTATTTCTCAATTTATCCTCAATGGAAGATATTTCTTTGTATTTCTTTGCCAACCTAAACCATCTGCTAAAAATATTTAAACTTGATATGCCTCATGAACATGAGTTAAATATCGTATTAAATTGTAGACGTAACGTAATAATACTAGCTACATTTTAATTTAGTATTACTCGTTGTACCTGTGCAAGTTCCCATCCAAACATCAATTGCTTTGACGTAGCTCACTTGTGGCAGACCACTCTGAATTCCTATAAACAAGATTGTATCAGATATATGTTTAAACACTTGCGTGTATAGGGTTCACATCACAACAAACACATGTGTAAAACACCCCTGCCAGTGTAACAAACTACGGGGTCCACCGTGAGGCCACTCAACTTATAGGGGTGCTGACTGTGATGGGCTAGTTGCACTTTGCCCGGAATATTCTTCAAATAAAAAAAGAACGATCTGGATTGGATTGCAGTCTAGATCTTGTGTAAAAGATTTACGGCTATAGACGCGGAGTTAAGCCCTTCGGGCGTAGGCGAACTTGGCCTAGTTCTGATAAGGTGCAACATGTGTTCCCAGGCTAGTGTCCGAAAAGTAAATGAGGTTTGTAGTGGGTAGTCTTTTGGTATTTAACCTGTTGGAGTCCCACACGACAGGCTAGCCATCTGTGTGCGTAAACGCATACCCCCTCCCTCAAAAGAAAAAGAAAAACAACACTCTCGATGTAAAACAAATATATATTACAAAAATTCTTCGAGTAATTAGTTTGTAAATACAGAAAGTCTTACAACACTAAAAATCTAGTATAAAAAGGCAAAATTCTAAATGTAACGATTGGATGCGGGTAAATAGCACCTGAACTCTGTGATGATACAGCCAGCAGTGTAGTGACTCCCAGGGTGGTCCTACCAGGCACAGAGTCGACGTCCATCCAGAAGCTGACCCAGGAGATAACCACGATGAGGATGGTCGGCAGATAACTCTGCACTAGATGGAAGCCAACTGACCGACTCAGGTAAAACTCCGCTACTAGACAACTGTAGTTGCCTAAATTATACGAACATGTCATGTTAGTGCCAGAGTAACACACGCACACACACTGATGCCAAAACGACTTAGTGTATTGTGTCGTCGTGTAAGGAAATTATAGAAAAAAGTAATACAACATTTAGTGTGGAATTTTCACTTACTAGTAATTATATAATTTAGAGAGAGTTGTTTAATTATCCTTCCAACACTGTTCATTTTGTCAGAATGACATAATGTTGTTGAACAATGTGAAAACGGCAGAAGAGGCCTGTTCGTTCCATTAAATTCATACAATTTAATACAGATAGTAGACCTTCAGCTTCATGTTCTGTACGTTAGTAAATGGTGTTTTTTCTATGTTAATATTTTCACATGAAAAAGCTAAATCAGAATACCATCATACAGGGTGAATAAAAAGTCAAGACCCCCCCATCTAATATTTTTCCAAGTAAATATACAGAGATATGCTTTTGGGGGTCGTGCAATCTTAGCAGGAAGTTTCTTTTTATGATTTTGAAATTTTTGAGTGTCCCCCCAAAAGGGGAGATTTGGGGGGTAACTCAAATATTTTAAATGTAAACCCCCTTCAAGTGACACCTCATTTTAAAGTGTTTACAAAAACTTAAAGAATGGTGAAAATTAGAGGTCGCTATCTCTTCTCTGACCAAAATGGTAGCCCGTCAAATGTTGTGGAAAATCAATGGTAAAATTGGTTCGTAATTGTAATATTGGCTACCATTTTGGATAGAGAAGAGATAGTGAACTCTGGTTTTCACCATTCTTTAAGTTTTTGTAAACACTTCAAAATGAGGTGTCACTAAATGGGGGTTAACGTATAAAATCTTTGAGTGTCCCCCCAAAAGGGGGGATTGGGTGGGCAACTAAAAACTTTTTAATGTAAAACCCCATCAAGTGACACCTCATTTTGAAGTGTTTAAAAAAAAACTTAAAGAATGGTGAAAATCAAGAGTTCACTATCTCTTCTCTATCCAAAATGGTAGCCAATATTACAATTACGAACCAATTTTACCATTGATTTTCCACAACCTTTGACGGGCTACCATTTTGGACAGAGAAGAGATAGCGACCTCTAGTTTTCACCATTCCTTAAGTTTTTGTAAACACTTTAAAATGAGGTGTCACTTGAAGGGGGTTTAGATTTAAAATATTTGAGTTACCCCCAAATCCCCTCTTTTTGGGGAAGACTCAAAAATTTCAAAATCATAAAATGAAACTTCCTGCTAAGATTGCCCGACCCCTAAAAGGATATCTCTGTATATTTACTTGGAAAAATATTAGATGGGGGGGGTCTTGACTTTTTATTCACCCTGTATAGTTAAGCACAAAATTTACATACTCTACTAATTCAAATGAAATATGGTTTGATACAAACTAGGTATAAAAACAAATTTTTTTTTATTTTAAAAATTCATATTCGATCATATTGCCTAAATATTTTATTTTGTAAATGTTTTGAGAGACTTGGAATGTAAATAAAAAAAATTTTGCAATTATGAAAAGCCTAAACTTAAGTCTAAAAGCGGAAAAAGTAATTAAAAGTTACCAATCTGGAATGATTCTTGACAGTCCGATGCGATTATCTCCACTATCTCAAACTGAGGCATCTTCAGGCCTTTGCCCATGATTACTGGGTTCATAGTCTTCCATTCAAGTCGCAACTCTTCTATCGTCTTCGAAACTGGAACCAAGGACATTGCTGGATAAGTGAGCTCTTGATGCATGGTGTAAGACGGTGTTGCCACCCACACTTATCCTAAATTAATACTCTGAAGGAATACTATGATATATCTGTCTACTTGGGTTTCCTTCTAGTTTAGTGCGATTCCCGTACATTCTGTAGAATGATCTATTTCGTCTCAAAACTGTTACGTTTTTCAGAACAGAGTAAAGAAGAGTGAGACTCTCTTAAAATTCTCATTGTTTATCCTGAGGTTTCAGTTAAATTTAGAGTGCTTGGTTAAGAATAATTACTTCAATGTAGACAACTTGTAGAAACAAAAACATTCCATTTAAATTTCAATACGTGTTATTCTCAAACAACAATTTCACACAGAGTGACTCTTTGAAAACATTTCAAAATCTAATAAGAAAGAATAAACCAGCTTAGTAAAAACGTATCTAAATATACTAACCGAAGGTGATTTTATACTTACAAGAAGCTACTTCCATTGTACATATTTGGTTGTCCAGTGGAAATTTTGATAGATCCATCATACAGGAGAATGTCAACTTCAACCTGAAAAGCAAATACCATTATTTGGATAATTACATCGAACAATGTATAGTTCGTAAACCGTACATTGCTTCCAGGGAAACTAATTAGTCTAATGACTACACACAGTGGATGGAAGAGGACAGTTTTTCTCGAGAACTGTCAGTTAAATCGTTGACACTAATTAATGGCAATAGCAGCTGAGTAGTGGTGAACTGGCAAAGAGACGGCACTTGGGGCGTTTTTTCCCATAAGAATAACATGGGATCATTTTTTGGCCACCAAAACCCAAAATCCTGATCTTTGTCTAAATATTCCTATATAATTGTCAAACCTTATTTCTTACTTATTCCCCATAAATATATTCGATATTAAGCTAAAAAAGCTATTTCTTATATTTATTGACCCTTACAAGTGTAAATGTAGAGTAGAGGCAATATGCCGGTTTAACATCACTTTAGGCACGTTTTCCCCATAAGAATAACATGGTGAGCTTTTTTTGACCACTTTTTTAAAAATCCAGCTCTCGGTCTATACAAGCCTATATAAATGTTCAATACCATTGTACAACTCCATTACAATTTCAAATCCATATCCATTCGCATGTATATTCACAAAATCATCAACTTGACAGTGCGAGGTTTGTACGCGAACTCGGCTCATGGCGTGTGCGCGCTCCCGACCCATGGTCCTGCTCTCACTTCTTGTCTCTAGTGGTCTAGTCCTAGTTGGGAGACCTCATGTTGAAGTAATTTTTAGTTAAATTGTTTGAAATTTTATAATTTCTAGTAAAAAATTTAGAAAATTTCACAATTTCTGGTAAAAAATTTTGAAAATTTCAAAAAGTCTATAAATAGAGGTGGCATCGGCCCAAGACCTCATTCTCGTGCGTGATGCCGACCTGTCAACACTGCTCCGTGTCGCTCTCCACCAAAAGTAACCTGATTCGCCACTACAAGGTAATTCATCAAATGAAGGTGAAACTGTCAATTTAATCTGTGATAATAACGTGGCTCTAAAATCACATATATTACAAAGTCACAAGACTTGTAATTTATGTAAAATTAATGTTGTTGGACATTTTAGAAGACATGTCAATTCCTGTAACAAATGTCCATACACAATGATTAAATTTGTTGGTGAATCGATAAAAGCTGAACTTGAAAATACTCTTAAGTCTTGTCCTATGCCAATAAAATGGACTTTAGTTAGGAGAATTAAATTTATAAAATATTCAATGGATAAAAATGGAAAATTAGTTAATGAAAAAGAATGTATAGCGGATTTTAGAAGTCTTACTACCTTAACTATTGAGAAGCGAGATTTAAAGCCTCAAATTAAAAATGCACTTTTAAAGATTGATGCATCCATTCACAAATATCAGGCCCAAGGCAGTGGTTGGATATATGACCATACTAAGTATTGGCAGCTGCATGTTTACAAGTATAAGCCCCTAACTCCAAAGTCATATATCCCCACACCAAAAAGTATTCAATCAAAACATGCAGTTTTAAATATAAAAAATTCAGATAATAAATGCTTCCTTTGGTCAATTTTAGCAGCTTTATATCCAAGGAATTGTATCAATGAAAGTGCTAATAGATTATCTAACTATACACCCTATGAAACACAGTTAAATATGACAAATATAAAATATCCCGTAAAAATATCTGATATAGATAAATTTGAAAGACAAAATAATATAAGTGTTAATGTTTTTGGAGTTGAAGACCAGAAATTAATATATCCATTAAGAACAACTAAACTGAATAGTAATACTCATGTAGATTTATTATTATTACAAGAAGGTCGTAAATCACATTATTGTTTAATTCGTGATTTTGATAGGTTAATGTTCCACTCTACAAAACATGGCCATAAGCAGCATTTTTGCAAGTTGTGTTTGCAACATTTTTACACTAGTGATAAATTAGAACGTCATATAACATATTGTAAAAACTTTGATGCCCAACGAGTGGAAATGTCTAAACAAGATACATTAGAATTTAAAAATTATAAATATCAACTTAAAGCCCCATTTGTGATTTATGCAGATTTTGAATGCTTTATAAACTCTAACAGCCATACTCCATCTGGATTTGCATTTGTTGTAGTAAAATATTCTACAATTATTTATGAAGAGTTATATAGTGGTGAAAATGTTATGGATGTGTTTTTCAAAAGATTATTTGAGACTTATGACTTCATTAAACGTCAAATAGCGATATGTATTCCCCTAATAATGACTCCTGAGCAAGAGGTATCTTTCCAAAACTCAATGCATTGTCACATTTGTGAAAAGCCCTTATATTTTGATAGGGTGAGAGATCATTGTCATTCATCTGGTCAATACCGTGGAGCTGCCCACAATGATTGTAATTTAAACTATAAAGTAACAAAGAAAATCCCAGTATTTTTCCATAACTTAAAAAATTATGATGGTCATTTAATAATGCAACACTTGAGAAAGTTTAATCGTAAATTAAATTGCATTGCCAAGGATATGGAAAAGTACATTTCATTCTCAGTTGATGATTTAGTATTTTTAGATTCCTATAACTTTCTGTCCCTTCCATTATACAAATTAGCTTCCAATTTAAATACATTTAGATTCATAGACAATCCACTACTACAACGTAAAGGCGTATTTCCCTATGAATACATGACGGGACCAGATAAGTTTGCAGAGTCTCTACCCCCAATTGAATCATTCTATAGCACTCTAACTAAAGAACATATCTCTTCCAACGAATACGAACATGCTAAAAATGTCTGGACCCATTTTAATATAAATAATTTACAAGAATATCATGATTTATATCTTAAAACAGATGTATTGCTACTGGCTGATGTGTTTGAGACATTTAGAGACCTGTGTTTAAAAGATTATAAACTGGACCCCGTACATATGTATTCACTTCCTGGATTAACATGGGAGGCCTGTCTTAGAATGACTGGTATAAAATTACAACTATTTCAAGATATTGACATGCATTTGTTCATAGAAAGTGCGATTAGAGGAGGAGTCAGTATGATTTCCACACGTTACGCTAAAGCCAATAATAGATATATGGGTGAACACTATGACCCCAATCAAGAGAGTGTCTATTTAATATATTTAGACTGTAACTCACTATACTCTACAGCAATGTGCGAGCCACTGCCTGTGGATGGATTTCGTTGGACTAATGAGATAGACTACAAATATAATCAAAATGATGAGTTTGGATACATTTTAGAAGTTGATTTAAAATATGATAAAAGCTTACATGATTTACATAATGACTATCCATTAGCACCAGAGAAAATGAATGGCAAATTAATACCTAATTTAAATGACAAAACTAAATATATTTTACATTACAAAGCATTACAAAAATATGAGGAATTGGGTTTGATTGTTACAAAATACCACAGAATTTTAAAATTTAGACAGTCTAAATGGCTTGCGCCCTATATTAATTTTAATATTGAAAAACGAAAATGGGCTAAAAATGATTTCGAAAAAGACTTTTACAAATTGTTAAATAATAGTCTCTTTGGTCGAACAATTATGAATCAACGAAAGTTTCGTGACATTTATCTCAAGGATGAGTCACTATTAACAAAATATGTCACTAATCCAAGGTTTGACTGTAGCAAAAAGTTCGATAACAATTTACATGCTATACATTTAAATAAATTAGTTGTAAAGTTTAATAAACCTATATATTTAGGAATGACAATTTTGGATATAAGTAAAGTAATAATGTATGATTTCCACTATAATTATATGTCAAAATTTAAGAACAAAAGATTTCTTATGACAGATACAGATTCTTTAATGTATTCTATAGTTACACAGGACTTTTACAAGGAAATAGAATGGGACTTGCACTTTTTTGATACCTCTGGATATAGTAAAGACCATTTCTTATACTCTGATAAAAATAAAAAAGTCACTGGCAAGTTTAAAGACGAATTAGATGGTCATATTATGTATGAATATTGTGGTTTAAGACCAAAGTTATATTCTTATATTCCTCTAAAATGGTTATATGAAGAAGACAAGCAAGCTTTAGAGGTGAAGAAAGCTAAAGGAGCTGATGGTGCTACAGTTAAACATCTCCTTAGACATCAACATTATTTGAACTGTCTTGCAACTGGGCAAGATTACTATGAGAATGTGACAAGAATTAAATCTACAAATCATCATCTTCAAACCTTGACCATGAACAAGAAAGTACTATCCTTTGACGATGACAAGAGGTTTATTCTTGAAGATGGCATTAATACTCTTGCGCTTGGTCATTATAAAATTGATCAAACATGAATTGTATGTGTAGATATATAATAAATACAAATGTTAAAAAACTCCAGTCTTTTATTTATTTACCCTTACCATCCTCTTGATAGAATTGGTCAAACATAAATCTATATTTGCCATTATTCTTTGACCTTTCTTTGTCTATTACGAAAAAGCCATATTTAGTTTTATCCCAACATTGATGACAGAGATTTTTAAATTGGTCAAATGAAAAGTCATTACCAACATGATTGTGATATACATGTTTTAAATTTAAATCATCTTGTTTGAATAATATTAGGAAATTTACATTATCACGTAAATGTTTGTGTATTTTGCTGTAAGATTGACACAAGTAAAAACAGTTAATATTTTTATGTCGACCCATTGAGAAAAATTGTGTAATATTTGGACTATTTATGTCATCAAATACAACAACTGACTGTGATTTTACATCATTTGGTGTGATTTCACAGTCAGTAAACGTGTGTAATTTCACTTCATCACACAAACTAAATATTTCAATTATTTTTTTATATTTTTCTTGTTCTAAAGATTTAGATATTAAATATAAGTTTGTAAATTTTAATCCTTCCTTTCTTACAATTAAGTTATAAATTACAACCGTCTTCCCACTTCCACTTGGACCACAAATGACACATCGAATATTGGTAGGAAATAGACCCAACTTCTTTGGTATATTTTCCTTAGTATGTACTATTTTAAATTTGTGTTTTTG